TATTTAATATGATCGTATTTATTATATGTTAAATATAACATGTTACTTCCCTATTATTATTCAATAATTTATAAATTCATCTAAACGATCGGTTAATTTCTCGCCCAAATAATACAGCTCTACTCAGGTAAATTTTGGGTTATTCGCCCAAATGAATGACGCCCTCCTTATTACCTTACCTATCTGTTTACCTAATGCCTATACCTATACCTAATAATAATTTTTTTCATATTTCTTAATTTTTTTAAATATTATAGAACATTTATTGACTAAATTTAAGTAATTACTAAAATTAGTGGAATTATCTACTCTTTAAAACAATTTATTTTTATTAAATTCAAATTGTTACACAACTTTGTAACACATACCTGTATTTTTTTTTTCAATATTGTTAAATAGCATGAAATATTCACGTATACCTACTGTATAGGAGATATTATTTATATAATTTTTTCCACACATTTTTGTATAAATGCACCAAGATTTATTAATTGTTATCCACCGATAATCAACGAATAATTGATATGGGTACATCTTTGGATTTCGAGATTTTTCAGTTATTATTCAGAAAATCGTGTACCTATCAATTGCATTTGTTTAGCTATTTGTACTGCTTTGTGATGAGTTAATAATATATGTATTTTTATGTTCTATGTAAACCAACCTATATTTTATTTTATACCTACACTTAATACACTTAATCAGAATATTTTTTTCTAAAAATTTGGTGCATAATAATATTATATATTGATTATTGAACAAATTGAATAACTAATAAAACAATTGTTTAAAGTTTGGATAAGTGGAGTGGAAAAGTAGAGCCTTAGGGTATACTGCGTGGAGTCTTGGCACACTACTCTACTCGTGAACATTAAGCATTTATAAATAATTAATTATACCTTCACTTATACATATATAGTTGGATCAATCTTCAATATGAAGTGATTTTTTTGTCGTGAAAAGCTCAATGTTATAACACATCATTATCTCGTCCAGACAGTGAGAAATCAGACATAAGTACTTATAAGTTTTCTTTAAGGGTGATAATATTTGTGAAATATGAAAAAAATGTCGGATGTAATATTAATATAATTTATTATATTAATGTTATATTTACTTTCTAAGGGTATAACGCTATAAATATGCTCAACTTGTATGTAATTATGTAAATTTAAACTAAAATGGTTGAAATAGTTCTTGAATAAAACGTTATTGTCTGGATAAGTAATAAAAAAAAAAATCACTCTTTGTAATAACATAAATTATTCATTTTTAGAATATACGATGTCAATATGATCTTAAAAGAGTTTATGTATGCCAAATCCCAAATAAATACCGATTTATATCTATGATTTTGTATTCAGTATATATACCTTCATAATAATAATATATTTCCATAAAGATAACTATCGAGTTGATTTATTTAAAAAGCCTGGTGTAGAGATACATTTTATTTTCTAAGCTATTCACTCGCTAATACCTTATGCATTGTGAAGTATTGTTTTAGACAGTCGCTATAACAAGCATAAAATTACATCATAAAACTACCTAATAATAGTAATAATTTAATAAACAATATTATATTTTTAAATTTTGTACCATTCCAGCAATATCCCGCATAAAATTAATGCATAATATACCTAATCACAAAGCTACTATAAAGTTCGCTGTATATATTATGTAATAATCTATTAATTATTATAATACCTATAATAGGAGTTTTGTCCATAATCGCTTTTACCGAGAGGGTATAATAATATTATATAAATGGTGCCTATATGGCTATAATAGGTAGGTACTCGTCGAGAAATTGCGAAATTATCTGAAACACATATTACGAGAAAACACAGAGCCATAAATTTATCATCCACCCCGGCCCAATGAAACCCTTATCGAAGTAAATGTATTACACTATTACCTATTGACCTATAACATAATATATACAAAATTACAACCCCCTGTAGTACCGACTAGAATATTAGATCATCAACGTGCCCCACTTATGGTGCCTCTAGACATGACATTGTACCACGTAGTAAGCAAGGATATATAATATTATGTATTTAAATAATGCACCATGTAAGTGTATACCCGAGATGCCTATATAAGATTTACTGTATACCTATATCGGACCATCAGTCTTGTTATAATATTAATAATCTAAAAATAAATCATTTATGAAAACGATAGAGACGTACTTAATACCCAGGTTCATCGCTTCGGCCACCGCCGCCATGGTCATGCCGAGTATCATGTTGTTGCATATCTTGGCGACCAGCCCCGAACCGGCCGGTCCACAGTACACCCACCGGGACCCCATGGAATCGAGTAAGTGTTCAGCCGCCGTCAGCGTGCTTTCGTCTCCGCCCACCATGAACGTTAGGGTGCCGTTCTCTGCACCCACCACTCCTGCGACAAATTATTAGATATCTTCGCTCAATATATCTTCAAGGTTCCTACCTAAGTGCAAAATCCCTGATGACCACTAAAAAAACCCCTCCCTTATTTCTGTCGTAATATATACAAGACTTTAGATTAAAAAAATACATGCAAAAATGCTTCTTTTTTTACTTAAAAAAAATTATAGAATACCTAATAACAATAGTGATATATCAAAATTAAAAAATTAAAACTTAATACGATCGTAGCCAATCAGTGGCGTAAATGCCTGGTTTTTGGGGGGAGGATCAATATTTTCTAGTTAGAACATAAGTAACAAATAATGATATATACATTTTTTTAAACGAGCTGCACCATAATCAACCAGCTTCTCGTATACATAATTTTACTAATAATAATAATAATAATAATTAATAGTAAACAATAAATATAAATACCTCCTGAAACGGGTGCCCCTAGAAATTTACAACCTTTCTGATTAGCCATGTCTGAAACTTTTTTAGAACTCTCTGGACTGATTGTACTACAATCCACGAATAACTGTTCTGGTTTCGAGAACCTAATATAAATAAAAATCACGTTAAAAAAAACGAAATATAATTTGTAAACCTAAAATTTATTTTGCCTATATAATATGTTGAATAATAGTAGATACATATTGTAGGCAAGTTTCAAAACTTTTTTGTATAATCTTAAGTTAATCTCTGTATGTATTTGACATTTGCAGTTTRCACCCTATCTCATTAACCGTTAATGCGCGTATTACTTATTGTAGTATAATGCTTGATTATATATTGTTTTTTACCTACATATTGTAATTATTTATCTGATAAAAACGATAATTATAAAAAAAGATCAAAACTTTCAAATGCGATATTTTTTAATTTATTTGATTTCGAATTATTTTTTTTATCTTTTACGCATAAAATTATATTRTTATCAAATTTTTTTAAATTAAACATAAAAAGCTAATATTTCTAACTGATTTAAAATATATCTAAACAGTTAATCGATTTTCAACGAGGTACTGTATGTAGCTCTA